GCAGGAGACTGCTATTTTTCTTTCTAGAATGATTAGATATTTTAAACTAGAAGCAGTTATAACTTTGAAAAATATAAGTGCAAGGTACAAGCAGCTATAAGCACTACAGGTGTAATTATTTAAGGCATATACCTATGGAAGAGATACACAGAAGTGATCTCGATTGTGCTAGATTGGAGAGATTACTGGGAAAGTTTACTTTGTTGAGTTTTAGGCAGTAGCTGTAGCAAGAAAGAGTGGGAAATGAAGGCAGGGATACAACAAGTTGGGAGGATGTCTGGATGGGCTGTGCCCATTGATCAAGAAGTCTGAGCCCTTGATCACAAAAGTGATCCTTTCTATCAGAAGGAATCATTAGCATAGAAAGTGAACTTATAAACATGAAATAGCCTAAGGCTCAGGTAGGAATCTACAAACCTGGGTTAGGGTATTTTCCTTAAAGGAGCCCTTTATTTGTTCTGGCAAATGGCTGACTGGAGAACTTGGGCTACAGAATTATTCCTGGGAAGGTGGCTATCTACTTACCCACATCTGAACTAACTAGCAGGGCCATCCCTCCCGTCCATCCAGACAGCCATCCAGCCATGCCACATTTTTGAGCCCCAGGTATTGGGCAGACATCATGCTCAGTGCTGTGCCCCTGCTAAATGGAATCTAAGAGCACCCTTGCAACCCAGCTCTAAACTTCCCTCCCCTTCCCACCCTGCCAGTCTCATCTTATAGGATATAGGCCACGAGCTATGAGATGGTGAGAATTCATATTTTCTATTTACTTTCACCTTCCTAAATATTTACTTTTCCTTCACCTGCCTGAGCTGTATGATCAATATCAACACATTTTTTTAAGTTCAATACAATTTTATTTAAAAATGTGTACAGCTGAAAGAGTGATCTGATCTTTCATTAAAAGAAGCCAATTTTCACAGAATATATTTGGCTGTTTTAGCTTTGTCATGAGTAATAACAGAAAAAGAAGTTTCTGTTCAAGATCCTCACTCCAGCACATTCAGCCAGGTACTTGGCAAGATGACACATTTACCTTTTAACTCTTAACAATTGCAAGGATAAAATACTTAAAATTTATGAGATGCTCCATTTAATGGAACAACTCAAATGTTAAAAAATTAGGTCAAGTAACATGCTTTGATATTTTTAAATGTTACTTAAAACTTACTGAGACAAGATACACAGCACACTCTTGGTATTAGAAGAATGCTACTTGATGGTCAAAAACATTTTAAAAAGACAAGAAGCCACACATATTGGTATACAACAATGTCTGCAAAGCAATGTCATGTTTTAAATTTCGTTAACTGAAATTAAACCTGAAAAAAAATCCAAAGGTCTGCAAAACCAACACCTATGTCATTTTAAATGATGAGGTAGATTGTTTCCTATGCAGTAAAGTTGATAACAAAAAATTCCATACAACTCTCAAATCCTCTTTAAAAAATATTCAGGTTATAGTCGCTTTCACAAACAAGACATCTATAAACTATCAATATATATACCTATATAATATCAAACTATATAATATATATCAATATCAATTTATAAATATCAACACCTTTTAATCAAGTTATTTTCTAGATAAATGTGGATACATCAACAGGGCCTCCCTTGGGTATTCTGTGCTTATCCCTTGAAAGCTTCTATTTAATGAGAGACTCCCAAGCTGTTTGGCAAAACAAGAGTAATTAACAGGGCAGCTGTTCTTCTGACACCCAATAATATTGATAACAAGAAAAGAAGCCTAATTTGGGTCAACAGAGTCTACAGGCATGACTGGGGCCTGGGTTCTCATCCTGTCTTCATGAACACAGTTGCTTATTATTCTCTGACTCAGTTTCCCATTCCCTTTCCCCTCATACAATCTGTAAGAGAGTTCCTCAAGGCAATAAACATTATTTTATTGATGTTTATTTTTTCTTTGATGGCTCCCAAATTGCCTGTACCATTGCAAGTGTGTCTTCAAAAATATTTCTGTTTGAATAAATGAATTGAGTAAACTCAATCCCCTTGGCAACTACATGAATATAAAAATCCACCCCCACATAGGTTCTGTTGGGGGACATTTGGGAGTTCCATTGTCTTTTACTTGAGAACTTTTAATTAAGTTCTCTGTTCATTTCTACCCATCCTGATTCTATGTCACACTCCTCTGTTGATTTATTTTTTCCCCCTCCTGGCTCTGCATCCATTCGTTCTTTTGAATATTGCCTTAAAGCTATACTTCTCAGCACCGAGTAATAGCTCACATTATGTAAGAGGGTTTTGTAAAAGTCTCTAAAAATTTCCAGAACAATAACAACTTAAATTCCCATCCATTCAAAACTAAATAAATAAACCATATTTAATTTGGGTGGAGGGAACTGGAGAGGAATTGGGGAATCAAATCAACAACAGGACGTTGCAATTTCCAGAAAGCTGGGAAATGTCTGCCCCAGAGGGTCAGAAAAAAACCATGTACTTGTATTAGTCCTGGGCCCACTCATCGGCAGCAGACCCTGATAGGAATAAATCTTGTTAAAACAATACTTTGCAAGGGGTGCTGCTTACCTGGTTTTGTCCATTTTGGGTACTGAAATCACAACAGTCAGAGTCCCAAAGTGGCCTCATGGGTCAGGCGGTCATTGAACAATACTCGGAAGGGTTACTAAATTCAGTAATTCTGAAGTCAACAAAAGGTTCCTGAGAAACAACTGAACATTTGGGCGCCTAGAAAGTCAGACACTATTCATTGTACTCTCATTCTACTAGCGGTGACACTCAAGAAGTATATCAGAAACTAGCTTTGTTCTCTTCTCAATATCTGAAATAAAACATTTTCTATCTCTTTTCTAGTTGTTATTTTTTGAGGCATCTCTCTTCCCTAAACTGGTAACTACCATCCTCCCACGCCCGCTACCATGCGCCCAGGATTGGGCCCACCGCAGCCATTGACTACATGACCTTGCTATCCGGGCAGAGCTACGTGGACATGGATAGTCCTTTTCCGGGTTTAGCTGCGTTCCCTGCCCTGTAGTTCACTCTATGTATCTGAATTTCATCTGAGGAATATAATACAATCAATCAAAATTTTTTAAAATTTTAGGCTACTTTGCAACATCTCTTTCAATGATTATTTGACGTTTGCATCAATTATAACAGAATGAAAGGAATTGGTTGGGCTTAATAATTCCCTTTCAGTAGCATAGGTTGAATCTCCCTATTCCAAAAGTCTGAAATCCAAAATGCTCCAAAACCTGAAACTTCTTGAGTACCAACATGATGCCTGAAAGGAATGCTATTGTAGGATTTCACATTTCAGATTTTCAGATTAGAGATGCTCAACCAGTAAGTATAATGCAAATATTCCAAACTCTGAAAAAAAAATCCAGCGTCTTCTGGCCCCAAGCATCTAGGATAAGGGATGCTCAACATATATTATGTTTAACATAGTTCTCTCTCTCTTTTTTGGGTCATTTACATTTACTTATCACTTGGCTAATGTATAGAAAGAGATGATTATTTTAAGGAGAGCTCAAAAGTAATATACTTTCTGGGTCCTTGCGTAGTTTGAGAATGTCTTTCAGTGAACATCACACATAAGTGACACTTTGGCTGGATACAGGTATCCCACTGTCGGTTCACTGTTTTGGAACAGAGTGCTGAAGAGAAGTCTGTTCATTCTTTTATAGGTAGCTTTTTTATTCTCTGTATTTCTGTAGGCATTTCTGCCTGAACATCTACCTGATTTTGAGTCTATTCTTGAAATTCAAATTCTTCTTCCAGCTAAGATTAAACACTGATCTCTTTAAAAAAATTTTCTCTGTTGCTAAAACTGACACTGCTGTCTAAACTTTCTTCCAATTATTATTTATCACAGCTACTCTCTTACCTTCTAGGATTCTCTATGTTGCTTATATTTTACTGTTCAGTTTTAAATATATTTTGTGTGAATGTGTTTCTTTAAAATATAGTGTATTGAGAGAAAGTTTGAAGTATAGCAATGCCAACAGATTAGGGTAAGATTTTGCCCTTGAAGAGGCAGTTTGTTATTCACAGTTCCCAGGAGGAGGGGCATACCACACACCATGGCGAAGCACCAGGGTGGATTAGGAGGACAGGAAGACGGGTGAAGTGGGGACCAGAGCTTTTATTATTATTTCTACAGGAAGGAATGGGTGAGGCAGAGCAAGCAGGCTTAGGATTTACTAGCTTAAAAAATTTCAGCAGGCTCTAGGGCATAGAAAATATCCTCAGTGTCTGGTGTCTTGCCCTGGGGGTAATAGGGCAGGTGGGCGGATAGAGTGTGGGCTTTGTGTTGGTTGAGTTAAGGAAGAAGTGGGTGCTCACAGGTGAGTTGTTTAGTATCTCTAGGAATTTGTTAACCTGGAGGGACAGTCCGTCTAGAGCAAGAGTGTACAATCTTTTGGCTTCCCTGGGCCATACTGGAAGAAGGAGAATTGTCTTGGGCCACACATAAAATATACTAAGGATGGCTGATGAGCTTTAAAAAAAAATTGCAGAATCTCATAATGTTTTCAGAAAGTTTACAAATTTATGTTGGGCTGCATGCAAAGCTATCCTGGGCGACTTACTGTCTGCAGGCCCCAGGTTGGGCAAGCTTACTCTAGAGTCAGCAAGGACTCAGATGTCAAAGATTTAGAACACAGAAAATAAAAGACATGATTAATACAGCATTCTGACAGTGTTTCCTCTTTTTAGTTTATTTCACCTATTTGATATTTGATAGCACCATTCCTGTCCTTCGCTGCCTCCCTGCTGTTCTTAATTTAACAATCCTGTTTGTCCTCTCCATTCATCGTTTTATGAGTTCAGAAAGTTTCCTTCTCCAGATTTGTAGATGTAAAGTTCTCCTAGATCATCTTGAGGACCTGAAGTTGACAATTTCCAAATTGTTCTTGTGTTTCTTATAGTAAGTAGTATTTTCAGAGACCTTTGTTCTAACCACTGGGAACGTGCTTCTTAACGTTAACCGCATTATCTTTTAGCAGGTCTGGTGGTTTTCTGTTTGGTCTTCCTGCTGGAGCGAGGTCTGCACCTGTGTCAGTCCCTGTCTGTGTCTGGATGGCTCACTGTCCAAATCTTCAGGCTCACATAAAAGGAGAAAGGCGAGAACGGATACATTTTAGGTAACCTTCCTTTGCCAGGTCAGAGACTCACAAATGGAAGAGAAGGAAGGAACTAGAATTTGAGCTGTTTATTGCAGGAAATGTCACCATGGAGGCGGCTTTCCTTTTGCTCTAGCAGTCAGGAATTCGCTGGGACATGTTCCTTCCATTGCCCCGTGTCGCCCTCATTAAATCCAGCTATAACGTCCCCCAGCTCTCCAGCTTGCATTGACTGAGAAAACTCTCAGGAGTGGAGGGGGTAGGGACAAGGAAGGACTCAGGGACACTGGTTGGAAGTCCACTGCAGCAATGCAGGCCAGAGGGAGTGTGAGCCGTCAGATTCTGGATAGATTTTGAAGCAGAGTAGAAAGGATTTGCTGATGGTTGGGATGTGGAATATGGGACTCTAGAACTTTTTCATTTTTTACATGAGCAACTGGAAAGAATGAGGTTGACATGGGGACTGAGATGTGAAGGACTGTGCGGAGAACATGTCTGTGGTGAAAATGGAGAGTTCGGCTCTGGACATGCAAAATTTGAGAGGCCTATAGAATGTCAGGGGAGATGTGTAGTATGTGAGCATGAAATTTGGAAGGCAGGTCTAGACATTAGTATGGATGTCTTCCTCCTTTAGATGCCTTTAAAGGGGTGGGATAGGGGTGAACATGGAAAGCACCGAGAAGTCCTGAGAAGCCAGGACTTGAAAATTAGAAAGAGGAAGAGAAACTCACAGATCACGCTGAGGCTGAGAAGGAGCAGCCCATCAAGCACTATAGGAGACACTGAGTGTGAAAAACACACTTGAAGTGTTTTTTTCTATTCTCTTATCAAAAATAATCAACACAGAAGAATTCTGTGACCCACTATGTGAGGATTTCTTCCTACCAGCAAGCATGGAATCAACTCTGTAGCAGTTATCAACAGGTTGTGCTCCAATCCAACTCCATTCTGACCATGTCTATCTGGAGGTAGCATCAGATCCCACCGTTTGAGGGCTCCGTCCTTAAACCTGCCCCTTGTTTTCAATGTCTGTCAAAAGCCCAGGTTGGGATGGGACTGAGTCACCCATCTAATCCTGCTGTGGTCTTTCAGGTGACCAGCCCCCTTCCTGAAGCAACGTAGGGGCTGCCAGCCATTAGTCAACTCATGAGCATCCAAAAAGATATCACTTTGTAGACTCCAGGGATTTTAGGATTTATATGCCAGGAAGTGGGACAAAGACCAAATATATGCTTCACAATAGCACAGAGACCAAAAGAGCAGGTGTCCTAAAGACCCAGAGAAGAAAGTCTTTAGAGGAGGCAACAGTCATCAAGACTGGGACACTGACCCCTGGATTTAGCAACAAACAGGTCCGGTATCTGGACAAGAGCAGACTGAGAAGACTGGGAAGAATGAAGGCCTAGTCAGGGTGGGTTTATGGGATGATGGAAGGAGATAAGTGGAGTGGGCAGCTGTCAGTCATAACTAGCCTCAGGAATGCAGCTGAGGGAAGCAAAGAAAAGACACGGCAGTGGGAAGAGCTCACAGGATTGGGAGGGTTTGTTGTTATTGTACTGTCATTATTGCTGTGAGGAAGAGAGCGCTTGCTGTCCATTTATTCAGCAGGGAGGGAGAAGCCAATGACAGGACAGATCGAAGGATGTTGTCCTGGAAACAGAGAGGCAGGCCAACTGGGGATTTCACAGGACGATGTGCGGGACTTCTGATGCTTCTTTTTTTCTTAGGGAAATTCAGAATAAGGACAAGAGCTGAGAGTGAAAGACGGAAGGGTCTCTCTGTGTGTCCCGCAGGGCCTATCCTATTCCTCCAGCCCCAGGAAGCCAAACCTTGCCACGGCCCCTCCTCCTTCAGGACTGTTTCTTTGCTTCTCCCTTTCCTGAAAATCAAGTCTTTATGGGTTGAGTCTTTACCACTTGGTCATTTCCAGAAAGTCCCCTTCTTGCTAATTTGCAAATGGCTGCTGTCTACTTTATGTGTTAACAGGATTTATGCTTGATGTGGCAAATATCTTTCTGTCCTGTGCTGTCATGATGTGTCTTTAGAGGAAGACTTCATTCAACTCAATATCCCAAATCAGAAAGTTTTCATTGAGTGCCATGGATGGGCCCCACACTTCTAGCCCAGAGTCCCAGCTAACCGAAGGTGCTCCCACCCAGCACCATCAGGTCTTTTATGCAGCACAGGTAAATGCCCCTGGGAGCAGCAACTGTCACTGACATTCTCTCCTGCACTTTACCACTCAACCAACACATGCCCTTGACACCTGGGTGTCAGGAACAGTCACAGTAGCCCCCATTGCGCTTGGAGGGTCATTGCTTTGAGGCAAAGAAAAAAGGAGGGAAAGAAAAATAAAGTTGGATGACGTCTCCCCACTTTGCTCCTGGTTATTTTGCAGGTAGAAGGCTTCACTTTATATTTTAAAGAAAAGTAAAGCTTTAACTGCTTCCTATGTTGAAACCTCTATGACAAATTTAGTCAGAGATTTAAAAAGCACCATTAAAAAAATAGACTATAGAGATGTGATCCCTGTCTGTACCTACTTACCACTGCTGGCTACCGTCCAGAAAACAGGAAACCATGTCCAAACTACATTTTTAGAAAAGGCTATCCTGGATAATATATAATATATCCTTTTATTCATTACTGAGACCCAAAGGTTAAGGCGTTTGAGAATGCTTCTTTTAAGTAATTGAGCAAGATGGAGGGAGAGAAAGAAAGAGAGGAGAAAATATAAGTTAATCTGGTTGATTTGGGGCAAAAACTTTCTAGAAGCTCTGCAAAGAAAAAATATGAAGATAATAAAATAGCTATTGGAAAATAAATTCATTTTGATTGATTAGAAATTACCTAATTTGCTAATAAAATAGCTACACTGTAGCTACCATTATGATTGATACTGTTAAAAGGAAATTCTTAACCTGTAGGCACTATTATTACCAGTTAAAGGTTTTTGTGTGTATGTGTGTTTTTAAGTCAAATAACAAAAGCATGGGAGAAGCAAATTAAAGTACCAGAAAAAGGAAAATCCAATTTGTGACTAAATTTTCCACAGGATGATTCTTTTCCCACCACCTTATTCCTTTTTTTTTTTTTTTTTTAAGAGTATGTTTCTCCCATCCAGGTTTGTTCCAAATTAAATTATGGTTTTTATCCATTTAAATGCAGATTCCTGAAATGCAAATAATGTGATGTTAACAAAGAAGAAGTCCTGGCCCTGAAATTACCTAGTGAAATTGTCTTTGCTCAGGAGTACCGGGTATTGGAGGTGTAATAACACTGAATAAAGCAACTCCATCATACCTCTCCATGGCTGCTTTAGGGAAAATCGGTTGCATATTAACTTGGGACTTTACCATGGCAAAGGAAAACTCTGTCAACAAGCACAGACAGTGTGCAGTTCCCACACACACACCTTGTGCCACTCAGTGCTGGGTTTTCATCAGCTCCGCAAGCATCTACTGAGGGCGTGCTCTGCCACACCTGGGGTAGATGTTGGGTGGAGATGGGGAGGTGATTGACAAGTCCCTAATTCCCAGCATCTCACAGTGAGGAAGGGAAGATCGATGTGTGTGTAAATGACTATAAACAGGGATACAAATTTTAAGGGAAATGAAAATCCAATGAGGGAGAGAGATTGTGATGGGCTCCACCGGTGGAGGAGGCAGTTTGAAAAGAGCTTTGAGATGTTAGTGGGTCTTTGACAAGCACAGGTGCTCAAGATGGAAATGTAGCCATTCTATGATAACTACATTTTCTAGGCCTGAGCGGGTGTATATGTGAGGGAAGAGTGCTTAAGGATCTGTCAACTGAAGAATGCTGACGTTTATAAATCAGGGAATTTGTTTCTTACAAAAGGGTGCAGCCTGCAGGGTGGCCATCCTGACAGGCTGGGAAGCAGAGTCCCCTGCCAGGCCAGGGCAGGCCAGCCTGACATTGAGGAAGGGACAAAGGGAACAGGAATTTATGCTGAGCAGGGTGGCCACATATATATATATATATATATATATATTTAATAAGCTCTAAGAAGAGTCGACTGTGAGAGGAGAAACATGCAGGTGAGCAGTTGAGCTTCATGCCCCTTCATGGGTCCCACATACAAAAAATAGCAGTATTAGCATGACCTGAGGGAGGAGTTTTGGCCCTCTGGTGGCCAAAAGTGAAGCAGAGGGCACAAAAACGTACTGTGGTGCATTCTTCATAGACTAACCAGAACTATTGCCTGGCCAGTGGTCTCTTATCAGTCAAAAAAGCAGGGGTAGCATCTGGCAGTTTGTCAATATCAATGGTGGAGTCTTTAGAAAGGGCTTGTTTCTGTCAAGCCCTTAGAGAAGAAAGCCTAATTGCGATTAGTAAGGGAGGAGGTATAACAAGGTATGTCTGAACCCTTATCCACCATGGCAGATAACTCAGTTTTCAAGGTTACTCTGGGGTTCTCTTGACTAGGAGATAGTCCATTCGGTCATTCGGGGGACTTCAAATTTTGTTTTTAGTTTATTGATTAGTACCTGATTTAACAGTCCAGTCATATCAAAATTATATCCCTCTTTCTGCTCTGTGGCCCTTGAGCCAGTAGCTATATGGCTGCAGCTATTCCAGACATCATATCTAGACCCAACAGCTGATGAAAAAAGAGCTATGGTCTCCTCTGGGAGTGCTTTCTTAGGAGAGAGAAACTCCTGGAGATCTTTATCTCACTTCTTTTTTAAAAAATTTTTCTTTCTTTCATTTTTTTTTTTTTTTTGAGGTGGGGTCTCAAACTGGCGCCAGGCTAGAGTGCAGTGGCATGATCTCGGCTCGCTGCAACCTCTGCCTACCAGGTTCAAGTGATTCTCCTGCCTCAGCCTCCCAAGTAGCTGGGATTATAGGTGCCTGCCACCACGCCCAGCTAATTTTTTGGTTTTTGTATTTTTAGTAGAGATGGGGTTTCACTATGTTGGCCAGGCTGGTCTCAAACTCCTGACCTTGTGATCTGCCCACTTCCACCTCCCAAAGTGCTGAGATTACAGGTGTGAGGCACGGCACCTGGCTATCTCTTTTCTTATTTTTGGGAGTGGGGTCGCATGTCTACTTTTGAATCAACCCTGGCAACAGGAAATGACATCATTGTCCTCACACCCAGCTGGCTCTTCTTTGGAGCCAGTGGTGGAATCTGCACCTCCTGAGGCAGGAGGCAGAACAAGGAATGGATACCTGAGCACAATCGAGGCTGTGACTACAAGGAAGAAAGAGAAAATTTGTGTTCTGTTTGCAGCCAATAGTATCTATTGATAGGCAAATGATGATCATTTGACTTGGAAATAGGAATATCCATTCTGTCCTTGAGATCAGTGTTCCCAAATTCAGCTTCCTCTGGTTCAATTGAAGACCCGCAACAGAAGATGCTGACTCAGCAGATCTGAGTGTAACTGAGCACGGGCTCTTCTGCTGGCTGCTTGCAAAGCCAGTAACAAGGATGAAGTGCAGTAAAAGGAAAGTGACTTTAGTTCAAAAGCTAGCACTGGGAGTGGGGACACGGCCAAGGCTCATACTCTAAGAGAACCATTTCCAAAGTTTGGGCTGAGTGCAGGGGTTTAAAAAGGGAATCTTGATATGGCAGGCACGCAGGAGTTGTGTGGGGGTGCAGGGGCTCTTTGTCTTGTTTCAATGCCTATCTTGAGTTGTGGTCCACCTGGAGCACAGGCTGGTGCCATCTCCACAATGGACAGCCTTTAGAGCATCCAATCTTTAACTGGGGGGGAATTCTACAACTGGGCTTTTATACCGGGTTTGTTTTTAATTTGCCCCTGGAATTTCTTAACAAGCATATAGTTAGGTAAATGTGCATGGCATGAGTTTAACAAGCAAACAGTTAGATAAATGTGTATAGGGTAATCGAGTGTATGGTGGGAAACGAAAGAGAGGAGAATTTCAAAATAAACTTCAAGGCTATGTTGTAAAACTAAGAGAAAAAAGGGCTTCTGCAATTTGCTTCAAGGTTACATCTTGAAACTGGGGAGAAAGGAGAAAAAGAAGAAAAAAGAAATTTTAGAATGTGTTTTGAAGCTAACCTGCTGGGTTGCATGAGAAGGGCTGCCTGGGTCCGTGCTGACTCATGGCTTTGTATGCTACCAGAATGATGTGGTGGAATGACTCAGCTCTCCTCACTGCCACTGCCAACTGCAAAGTGAACTCACTCAGCACACAACAGGCAAGAGCTGGTCTGTGCTGATACTGCATAGGTGCTGGGGCTGAAGCAGAGGCACTCATGGGTATGGGTCTTCAGGGAACCTTATGCCCAGTGAAAAGTCATTAGCCTCAATAAAAAGGGATTCTACTAGAAGATAGTTATCAGTCAAGAATGGGTTGGAGAGCAAGTATCAAAAAACCTGACACCAGTGCCTTGAATACAGAGGTATAGTCCTTATTTTACTTACTCTATAAATGTTGGAGGATATTCAAAGCTGGTACAGCTAGCCATAAGTGCCATCAAGCACCTGGGGCACACTGACGTCCAAGTGATCCCATGTAGCTGAGGAAGCATGGTCTCCCAGCAGGGCAATGCCCAGAGAGACAGAGTGCAGTCCTTACCTGCCACTGTCCCCAAGATGGGGCAGTGAGATGCATTCCACAGTGGCTACATCCAGGTCACATCCCACTTCTCCAGATCTTTAGATAACAGCTTAACTCTCCCAACCAATTGCCAATCAGAAAATCTTTAAATCCACCTATGACCAGGAAGCCTCCCCTGCCCCTGGTGTTGACTGATGTTTGCCTGTAACTTCTGTTTATAGTTTAAAACTTACTGTCCCCACCCATCAAGTTATCCTTAAAACTCCAATCCCCAAATGCTCAGGGAGACTGATATGAGTAATAATAAAACCCCATCTCCCATACAGCCAGCTCTGCATGAATTACTCTATCTCTATTGCAATTCCTCTGTCTTGATACATTGTTTCTGTCCAGGCAGCAGGCAAAGTGAACCTGCTAGGCAGTTGCATGGGTAGCCATATAGGCCAGGCTAAAATAGACAGGGACAGGCTGCAGGCTCAGCCTTCCCTCCTTGCTAAGGAATCTCTTGAGCCCTCAAGCAAGATGTGAGAAGGTCCAGTCCAGTCCTTTCAAGATCCTGTTTCTCCTCATCCTGGGTCTGTGTCCCAGTGAGTGTCCTCTGCGTTCTCTGGGATAAACCTGTCCATGCAAGTAGGCACTGAAATGATATTTTCCTATATTTTCCAGAGAGAGGGGTGTGGGGGCTGTCGTATTTTTAAGTCACATGTTGCAGCCCCTACTTCACCATTAGAGGCATGCAGATTATAATACCTGGATGGGCTGAGCTGGTTTGAAGGAC